GCAGGACCATGGCTTTGATCACTGCGACCTGGATCTTGTCGCTGCTGTGCTCTCTCCCGCCGTTGTTCGGCTGGTCGCATTACGTCTTCACAATTGGCAAAGCAACTTGCTATTTCAATCTAAGCGAGCACCTTCCTTACACAATCATCTTAGCCATTGTTGTATTCATTTTGCCATACATTCTGATCACCGTTCCATATTACAGAATTTTCCGCTTCATTCGCGGACACAGTCGAAAACTGAGCGTAAACAGTGTCTCGGCGAGTTTCAGAAAAGGAACGCGTTCCACTTTCCAAGATTTCAAAGTGACAAAACTTTTGCTCGTTGTTGTTTGTGTGTTTGTAGCCTGCTGGACTCCACATATCATTGTTAATTTGTTGAATGGTTTTGGCATCATTCAGCCAATTCCGCGCATTTTAGACGCAATAAGTACATTTTTAACTTTTCTCTCCAGCTCCTGTAACCCGTTCATCTACGGGCTTATGAACAAAAAATTCCGCAAGGGCTTCCGCACGGTTCTTTGTGCGCCTTGTCAGAAATGCGCTAAGACAGAAGAACCGAAGCTTGAACGGAAAATCAGTGGAGAAACCACCAGGAACTTGAGCTCAAGATCAAGAAGTAGTCATAAGAGAGAGTGGAAGATTGTAACTGAGACACGCAGTACAATTTACGAGACTTGTGTTTAGAAAATGCAAGTTAATATAGAGAGTAAGGAATTTGAAAAAGTATGTAGTCTGCATGGTACTAAAACAATGTAAGTTGAATATCAGTTCACGTCAGGTTCACGTTGAAAATTTCTGACTTCGTAAGTTATAGGTTTAAAGTAATCTTTTCAAACAATATTCTCCATTCAACTGTCAAGCGCAATTTTCTTAAATATTGTTGATCTTAAAACCTTTACCGTTTTAAAGTCATTGACGGAATCGAATTAAACTGATTTACCTATTTACTAGGCCACAGTGTGATTTCTTAGTTTCTTTGTTAGTCGTTAGGCTGGAAACAGAGTCAGAGTGATGCTAACGCCTTGTCGCGTCTATTTCCAGCGAGTATTGGATACCAGGACTATCGATAATTTTTGTGGTGCGTTGTTGTAGCCGCTTTACCAGGGGTGGGGTGGGGGAATAGGAGGCTTTTGTGCATGGGGCCATTTTTCCTCGGAAAATTCCTAGGTTCAATGAGAAGGAAAATTTCTAGTATTGTTGCTCGAGCGGATCATTATTTTTTAAAAACATTTTTCATTTAATATTTACCGTGGTGGTTTCTAATTCCTGCCTTGGGTATTTATGGTGCAACTAAACAACTCAAAACACTTTGTAGCCTGCGGCGGGAGGCGAGCTACTTTACCGGCAGATGCAGTGGCTAAAAAAAAGTTTCATTTGAGTACTGTAATGACTTCAGTTGACAACTCTTAATGCATGGAGATCTCGATCTTAAACGGACACCACTCTAAAACCAAATGCCTATCTGCCATTTCTCTACAATCAGTGCGATGGCCGTCTCTCTAAAATTAAAATGACAGCGGTCACCTTGCAGCAGTCAACAAACACCCGAGAAGAGTGCTTTTCGCTGAAAATGCACTTTAGAGGGAAGAATAGGTAGATGCTGCATATGTCAGCATATAAGATTTGGGAGAACAATATTTGTACTTAAACTGATTAAAATAGCAGTGTTTACTTGCTTCTAGTGATGCCCAATATATACCTAAGTCAGGATTAGTGGTGCCATGTTACCTCCACTCGATTCTCATTAGGTGTTCCCCACGATGTCTGGCCTCACTAGCGATGCAGTAGACTGACAGGTTCTTACTTTTCAACCTCTTTCGCAGGGTCTCTCATCATCGATCCCGGAGCGACAGAAGAGGACCGCGGGGAAGATGAGAGACCCTGGCGGTTGCTAACTCTTTGTTACAGTAATGTCAGATAGGGAAATAAAAATCCGACGTTTAGCGCTCATTAATTTCATGTGGGAAGTGATATGGTGTTCATTTCTTTTTCTCTTAATTCATGTTAATTGATACACTTCTTATTCGTATCAAGGTGTACCGGCATTACCACGGACGACAAAGTCGATCAAAGTCCGTGAAAATAGACTTTTTGAAGACGAAGCCCACCGGGATGGGAATTGTGAGACTGACAATATTAATTGCTCATTTGTTGTTTATTTTTTTTTTTTCGTTTGTTTGTTTGCCGCTGTTGTTGGTTTCCTTCGAGACAATTGAGAGGAGGTGGGGCGGGGGATTCGAAAGAATTTAGGGTGCTGCATTGATTTTGAGAGGACCTGTAGTGTGATTACCAGTCTCTCGAAAATTACCAATAATAGCGCTATAGCGAAACTAGGAGCTGGTCACTTTGCGAGTTCGTAATAAACCCGTAGACTAAGTTACCAGCTCCCAGTTGGCTTGATAGCTCAGTTGGTAGAGCACTGCACCGGTATCGCAGAGGTCATTCAGGATTTCGCGCGGCCATTTTTTTCTCGCGGTTTTCTTTCGCGTCACGCACGACGGACTAAGCGAAAGACGGACTTCTCGTAGTCTAGAAAAACTTGTAGATCTTGAAACTGTACGGTATAACTTTACTTACATGATTAATTTTCAGTTTCTGTGGGGACAAAGGATGCGCTGGCTAGATATCGGTTTTCCTCCGCAACAAGAAAACCGCTTCATTTAAGTTTAATCTAACCGCGTAAGAAGTCAATTTGGTGATTATTACCCGCAATCACACTGAAGCCATGAATTTTTTCCCGCAAATCGCAGACGTTATTTAAAAGCGCGATCATATATCTTTCATATCCTCTGCCGATGATTTGTTCGAAATTAAACTGCTCTGCCCGAGGATAAAAATATCGGTCTGATCCGTAGCAAGCCGTCCGTGATAAACCGACACCTTTGAAAGAGGCGAGCGTTGCCAATATATTTTGTTTCGAGGTTAAAATGATTAACAAAATGAAAATGAAACGCCAGACCACTTTGTTCATATTGAATTTAACTTTCTGTGAAAGTTCCTATTTTTAGTCATCGCTTTTAAACTGGATAATTAACATAACTAGGAAATGTCCCGAGTGCATGCAATGGAATATTCATCGCTTTTAGTTTATTCATTCAATAAGGAAGCGATTCCTTGAGGTGAATGCGCGATGGGAAAAAGATAAGAAATCAAGGGGCCTTTCTTCGGCGTTGCAGCTTCTTCTGAGCACAGTATTGTTTTGTTTGTTTAAAAAAAAGTCGGAAAAACTACGAATCTGATTGACAGTGCCGGATTGTATGTAAGTGGATGACATCTCTTTCGTCAATTTCCTGTTGGCCTGACACAATAACCTCTTGCAAGGCAAAGCAGCAAGAAGTAGAAACGGTTTGCAAAACAACAGCTGGTCGAAGCTTCGCCCACATACCGCCTACACACTAGGAAGAACGACAAAACATTTCCGAAATATGTCCCTTGCGTGGTGACGATATTTTAATTTAGATAAATTGATCCGGCGTTAATGTTTTATGTGAATTGCTTCCAACGTTTCTAAACTTTCGACTTATACAGTGTAAGAAGCTCTTTAGATATCGCTGGTTAGAATATTGTTAAGAATTCACAATATTTGAATGTACGTATTAGCATATTGGCTATTTTTTGCTATTAAATGGTTATTATTATTATTGTTATTATTATTATTTTTTTTCATGTTTTGTTTTTAGGGGAATAAAACGAAGATGCTGTTACGGCGATCCAAACTAAAAAAGAACAAGAACAAAGAAATAATCTAATTTTGACTCAGAATCAGATCAGAAAAAAAAAGCTCGTTATGGCGCTTACGAAAGTTAGAGCAAGATCGATATGAATGAGTAATTTACACGTGCTGTCCACACGGTTCAAGAAATATATTAAAAAAGTGAGCACACTTGAAATGCATGGGACAGTCCTGGAGTGCTATGCGACGGTTTCACCCACGTCCTTCCAGACAAAGCAATTAGTTATGTCTGTCTTAGGGAGAAATAACGGGTCTTCAAGCTTTCCAACTGCCATCAAGATGATGTCGACAGCTCTTTTGGACAGCTTTCAGTCCGATCAATTAAGTGGCACTTTTACAGTGAAACAAAACTTCGTTTGATTCGGTGCCTATAAAAATCTTGCCGCACTTCAACTTTTTACCTTAATACATGTCACTTAATCAAAGTCGTAGAAGTGAGACTTTTAATGCGGTTTCTACATCAGCTGGTTCTGCTGTCTTGAAGTTTGCTCTTGAATATTTTCTTCGAATTAGTCCACGTCCGTTAAAATTAATATGGCCAAGTTTAACTGCGTGCATGAATATACATCCCGGAAGCATATATACACATATTTAAGTCTAACCCTGTTGGTGAGATATCGATAAATATCTGAGTAACTTAATTTTCAATTTTATAAATGGCTACATTTCAAGAAAAGACGGCTTCGGGTTTATTATTTTTAGCGCAACACTTGCAGTTACTTGTGTAATGAATTACGTCTTTTGCTCATCTTTGTTGTAAACCTTAATGCTATCACGTTTAAAGTTTGTGATTACATGTGTCCCGCAATGTTTATTGCGGAGTGTTTCATCTAGATGGCCGGCTTAAGATATTTGTTCTTTTATAACAAGGCAAGCAATTTGAATATCATATTATTCATAATTGGATTTTTTTCAGCCACACGGTTAGAAATATTTTGACAAGGCAAATTTTTTTGACGTTCATCACAGGTTCCGTGTAGGAATATCTTCATAAAAAAACGTAAAATGTTTTTTATTTCTCTCAGGGAAAAACGGCCCTGAAATTTGTACTGATATAACGCAAAAAAAGAGCAGCGATGTTACAAACTAATTGAAACGCCGAAAATGAAAAGTCAGGCTGATTATTTATCCATAACAAGAGGTTATATGAGAGCGTTGAAGATGAAAATGCTAAAAGGTCCATGTTAATGAAATTCAACATCAGTGATGGCAGCTGTTCCGAAATAAAGTCCTTTCATTAACCAAGGCAAAAAAAGACAGGAACTGAACGATGCCTATGCAAATTTGGCGGAGCCTCTTCCCACAGAAAAGAAAACAGTTTTCAACGAGTTTTCGTGTATTTCTCGGTGATTAGAAAATGAACGAGCACAAAGTTTAAACATCGCATCGCGCAGGTTCACGGCGCTTTGTCGACGCAAAATACGTTGTAAATCACCGTGGATTATATTGATGGGTCGATTTTCGCCCTATCCTCGCCAGAACATCTGCCACGGAACAGTGACGGCTGATTTGCTATTGTTTGTGCAACTCGGCGAAAAAAAACTTTAGCGATAGCGCTCGGTTATAGAAAAGACGTTCACAAGTGATCTCTTCTCAGTGTAGCGTCAGCCGGGGAAAACAAGACCTCTTCTGTTTGGCCACGGGAAAGTCTGAAACTGTGTGAAGAGCTTATCACACAGGAGCTGAGCGCCCGTGAAGTCTTTTTGTTATTGGATTAAAGGTGGACAACTGGATCACAAGACCTCCAGCTAGCTGAGGAAACCATCTTTGATGAATGATCAAGTTGGAAGGAAAAGAATCGAGAACTATACAACAGTGAATCGGCAGTGGAGCAGCCCTTGAAAAATTTCTTTCCTTTCACGCTTCTAGCTACTGAAAGGCAACTAAATAACTGCAATCAAAGACAAGGTATAATTGAAATTGTGTTTAATCGGACTGACGGGAATTAACTTTATAATTTCCGTAACGTGCCGAATTTTCAAAACAGAACCAGGCATGAATTTAACAGAAGAGTTTAATCGCACAAATAACCAAGGACAGGACGAAAGGGATTTTCTGGCGCTGAGGATTATTCAAGCGGTGGGAATGTGCCTGTTTATTCTCACTGGTATTCCAGGGAATTTTTTAGTGTGTTACCTGGTTCGCAGAACGCGGCGCCTTCGAACAGTGACAAATTCAATCATAAGCAACTTAGCTGTTGCAGACCTCGGGGTGTGCCTCTTTAACATCCCTGTTTCCTTGGTAACAGTCATTTACAACCGCTGCGTGCTGACCGATTTCGTATGTCGGATCGCAGGCTTCACGAATGCCTTGTTCCTTTTCGAAGCTCTGTGGTCGCTTGCGCTGGTCAGTATTAGCAGATACTGGTGTATCGTACAACCAGCCAAGTTTTCCTCCATTTTCACCCGTCGCAGGACCATGGCTTTGATCACTGCGACCTGGATCTTGTCGCTGCTGTGCTCTCTCCCGCCGTTGTTCGGCTGGTCGCATTACGTCTTCACAATTGGCAAAGCAACTTGCTATTTCAATCTAAGCGAGCACCTTCCTTACACAATCATCTTAGCCATTGTTGTATTCATTTTGCCATACATTCTGATCACCGTTCCATATTACAGAATTTTCCGCTTCATTCGCGGACACAGTCGAAAACTGAGCGTAAACAGTGTCTCGGCGAGTTTCAGAAAAGGAACGCGTTCCACTTTCCAAGATTTCAAAGTGACAAAACTTTTGCTCGTTGTTGTTTGTGTGTTTGTAGCCTGCTGGACTCCACATATCATTGTTAATTTGTTGAATGGTTTTGGCATCATTCAGCCAATTCCGCGCATTTTAGACGCAATAAGTACATTTTTAACTTTTCTCTCCAGCTCCTGTAACCCGTTCATCTACGGGCTTATGAACAAAAAATTCCGCAAGGGCTTCCGCACGGTTCTTTGTGCGCCTTGTCAGAAATGCGCTAAGACAGAAGAACCGAAGCTTGAACGGAAAATCAGTGGAGAAACCACCAGGAACTTGAGCTCAAGATCAAGAAGTAGTCATAAGAGAGAGTGGAAGATTGTAACTGAGACACGCAGTACAATTTACGAGACTTGTGTTTAGAAAATGCAAGTTAATATAGAGAGTAAGGAATTTGAAAAAGTATGTAGTCTGCATGGTACTAAAACAATGTAAGTTGAATATCAGTTCACGTCAGGTTCACGTTGAAAATTTCTGACTTCGTAAGTTATAGGTTTAAAGTAATCTTTTCAAACAATATTCTCCATTCAACTGTCAAGCGCAATTTTCTTAAATATTGTTGATCTTAAAACCTTTACCGTTTTAAAGTCATTGACGGAATCGAATTAAACTGATTTACCTATTTACTAGGCCACAGTGTGATTTCTTAGTTTCTTTGTTAGTCGTTAGGCTGGAAACAGAGTCAGAGTGATGCTAACGCCTTGTCGCGTCTATTTCCAGCGAGTATTGGATACCAGGACTATCGATAATTTTTGTGGTGCGTTGTTGTAGCCGCTTTACCAGGGGTGGGGTGGGGGAATAGGAGGCTTTTGTGCATGGGGCCATTTTTCCTCGGAAAATTCCTAGGTTCAATGAGAAGGAAAATTTCTAGTATTGTTGCTCGAGCGGATCATTATTTTTTAAAAACATTTTTCATTTAATATTTACCGTGGTGGTTTCTAATTCCTGCCTTGGGTATTTATGGTGCAACTAAACAACTCAAAACACTTTGTAGCCTGCGGCGGGAGGCGAGCTACTTTACCGGCAGATGCAGTGGCTAAAAAAAAGTTTCATTTGAGTACTGTAATGACTTCAGTTGACAACTCTTAATGCATGGAGATCTCGATCTTAAACGGACACCACTCTAAAACCAAATGCCTATCTGCCATTTCTCTACAATCAGTGCGATGGCCGTCTCTCTAAAATTAAAATGACAGCGGTCACCTTGCAGCAGTCAACAAACACCCGAGAAGAGTGCTTTTCGCTGAAAATGCACTTTAGAGGGAAGAATAGGTAGATGCTGCATATGTCAGCATATAAGATTTGGGAGAACAATATTTGTACTTAAACTGATTAAAATAGCAGTGTTTACTTGCTTCTAGTGATGCCCAATATATACCTAAGTCAGGATTAGTGGTGCCATGTTACCTCCACTCGATTCTCATTAGGTGTTCCCCACGATGTCTGGCCTCACTAGCGATGCAGTAGACTGACAGGTTCTTACTTTTCAACCTCTTTCGCAGGGTCTCTCATCATCGATCCCGGAGCGACAGAAGAGGACCGCGGGGAAGATGAGAGACCCTGGCGGTTGCTAACTCTTTGTTACAGTAATGTCAGATAGGGAAATAAAAATCCGACGTTTAGCGCTCATTAATTTCATGTGGGAAGTGATATGGTGTTCATTTCTTTTTCTCTTAATTCATGTTAATTGATACACTTCTTATTCGTATCAAGGTGTACCGGCATTACCACGGACGACAAAGTCGATCAAAGTCCGTGAAAATAGACTTTTTGAAGACGAAGCCCACCGGGATGGGAATTGTGAGACTGACAATATTAATTGCTCATTTGTTGTTTATTTTTTTTTTTTCGTTTGTTTGTTTGCCGCTGTTGTTGGTTTCCTTCGAGACAATTGAGAGGAGGTGGGGCGGGGGATTCGAAAGAATTTAGGGTGCTGCATTGATTTTGAGAGGACCTGTAGTGTGATTACCAGTCTCTCGAAAATTACCAATAATAGCGCTATAGCGAAACTAGGAGCTGGTCACTTTGCGAGTTCGTAATAAACCCGTAGACTAAGTTACCAGCTCCCAGTTGGCTTGATAGCTCAGTTGGTAGAGCACTGCACCGGTATCGCAGAGGTCATAGGTTCGAATCCCGTTCAGGCCTGATTTTTTTTTTTCAGGCTTTAATTTCACACCTGCTAAGTTGAGTGCATAACTGCGATGACCAATCATGTATTCATGTTGTACTTAGTCTCGCAACCCTGCTTCCGATATAAAGGTGGCTTATTTTTCAACAGTGCAGTCCTAACAGGGAGGAGAGCATACACGAAATCACGGTGCCCAGTTGGCTATCCATACCAAAAATCTTCGACCACCCTTTGACGTTATGTATGTACACGTACTCGTAAGCGTGCTCTAATGACGCGAAAATCGTGCGCCGTGCGCTGTAGGGATGCGCAATGCAATTCCGGGGGATTGTCTGCAGTCATTCTCGTCCCAGAGCCTTCGTATTTTAAAACGAGTACCACTAGGGACGACAATTGCCTGCGGTTGGAAACTCAAGACACGAAAGACTGGAGACATTTCTTGTAGTTTGGATCTTGATTTTACAGTTTATACAAACTTCAGTCTACAGTGTGTACAATTTAAGCAGCTATACTTTTCAAGTTTCCTGGGTACCAGGGGATTTGGATGACATGTGGTGTGGTAAAACTTTAACCTTGGTTCAATTTCAACTTCCTTTTTGTTTTACTGTACACTCACCATCGCACACACTAAAAACAAACACACAAAAAAGGCTGAATTCATGAACAGACTTAATATCTGCTTTAACCAGAATAAAACGGTACAAGAAAAACCTCTGGCACCCAGGGTAACTCTTAACTGTAAAATCGTTGAAGTCTTATACAAAAGTTAGTGTAGCCCGCATCCTGTCTTATTAAACAAGGGCTTTTGGGGAGAAGACCAGCTGTTGTCATACATGCGATCACACTGGTGAAAACTAAGAAGATTTGCATGTAGCTTTAACGTTAAAGTCGACTGTTTTAAATTAAATATAAACAAATGCACTTTACAGTCTTTTATAAATTCCATTCTATGATGGTGTTCCTGCCACCAAAATTGACAAAATAATGGTGGAAAACAGTAAAATATTACAGCTCTCTGCTAAGTCCATATACCTCAAGAAAAGGAAAAAAAATAGTAACGAAGCTAGAGGCTATAGATTTTATGTCACGCAAAATGAGGACTGAAATAAGAAAACTAAGTTAACGCCTTGAGAATAATGTTACTGCTTGGTGTACGACCATTTTGTGGACTGCAACCAGGGAAGTATACACCTTACAAACACAGTCTAAAAAAAAAAAAAAAAAACACCACCAGAAGCCAAGAAATGCTGGGAAATACAAAAAAGGCTTTCCTTAGGAACTGAAGTTATAAATGCTATGAAAGCAATGTGTATACATCATGTACTACTGTTTATCTAAAACCACAGCGGTGTTGACTATTTGCCCTGAAGAGAAGTGAGGCCGTTGATATCAAGTTTCAAGTCATTTCGGAGGACGCGTAAAATGTTTTGAAGAGTGGCGTACAGCAGAGAGTTCCATCATTCCACTTTCTCTTTCCTGTCTTGTTCCACTAGCTCGTCTCAGCCCAGTCCCTGAAGATGTTGGAGTCATCACAGGAGTCGAGCGGACATGGGCACCAGACATCCGTGATATGTCACCGCGTGGAAGATCCCCGCCTGTTACCTCAGCTGGGGCTCCGCGATGAAGGCGTGTGATTCGTCTTTCCCTTTCTGCACGCGACATGGGCCTTTGTGCACCTTGTACCAGAAATAGAGAAAATAATTACGTCAATTAAAAGATGCAAGGTGTAATGCCAAAGCATGAAAAAAACAAACAAAAAACCAAAACAACCCCATCATTTTATTAATACAACAGTTCTTCAGTCTAGAACTTTACAGTAGTGATCCCAGTGGAAATGTGGGCAACCACTTGACACTGTCCCCACCAGAGAAAGAGAGACAGAGAAAAAAAAATTCCTTTTTCCTTTGTTCAGTCCACATATCAAAGATGTTCAAACCTACCAACAGGGGAGGGTGTGGCAGTACTCATTGGTTCCCGTAATCGACCAGATGTCGTGCCAGGCAGAGCACGGGTCGTGGAGCTTCGGTGATTCCTCTCTGGCTCTCTTGGTTCACGTTCTCTCTCTAGCACCTTGTCTACTCCCCTCAATCCTCCCCGGTCAGCACCAGGATCGGGTTCTCGTCCACTACCCTGAGATAGAATTCATGACACACTTAAAGTCAGTTTGTTCAAAACTGCAACAAATTTAGATCTTTGTAGTTTGGCATAGTAATGTCTGTCCTGATGTGAGGAATCAGAGTAAGAAAGCTCATCTGAAGTAAAATGTATGTAAGAAATTGCTGAGCATTTTGAAAAACTGTCTCAGCAGTTCATTGGTAACCATTCACTAGCAGATACAGGTCGTCATAACAGATAAGAGAACTGAAAATGGATTCTTTCTTCCTCAGTTAAAAGGGGATGCAGTGGATTGTAGGGTGGACATGTTTTCTCCGATAAAAGGGGTTTGGGAAGGGATGACAGCAAAACCTGAGCACAAGGATCCTGGCCAGACTTGAAACCAGACAGGTTCGTATTATTCATACTATATTTTTACAAACGCTCTGATTATGTCAAATCAAACCAGGAACAAACCAAGCATACTTACAAACTTAAGAAGATTCCAGTCAAAGATGTAGTCGTACACATAACCTTGACAGTGAAACAGATTGCGGAAAAGTTGACGCAAATAAGAGTAGTCTGGTTTGTCATCAAAGCGTAGTGACCGGCAGTTGTTTAGGTACGTGGAAAATTCAGCTGCAACAAAATCACAACAAAGGCAATTGATCGATAAATCAATCTTAAACTCAAAACCCATTAAAAATTAGTGTTACAAGCTTGTCTTCTCCCCTGCTCCCAAACCTTGATGACAGAGCCTGCCCTGTACATTGGATAGACTGTGTCTTGCACATGAAAATTTGAAACTGACCAACAACTAATCAAGACAATTCATGCCTCTTTTTAGAACTACATAAAATCACTATGGAATATTCTGAATTGAATAAAGGACATATCCCGGGAGAGTAATCATTCAGGCTGCTTTTCCTTGCACCTGGTAACTTTGCGAATGAGCATACAAAGAAAAGCACCCTCAAACGTTTTTAAAACAAATTATATACCGATCTTAGATGTTACCACTTACATGGAAATCCTTTGCAGAGAACTTCAATTGGAGTGGACATCTTCTTTTCACTGATTCTTTCATACTTTTGTTTCTTTGTGGCTGCTTTGAGACCTTGCCATGGCAGACTTCCCAAGTTAAAATACATGAGCACATAACCAAGAGATTCTAAATCATCTCTTCTGCTTTGTTCTAAAAATTGAAATTGGAAAGATACTTCATTTATAACTTTGTGACAAGGCGCAGAGAATTAGAACTTGTAATACATGCAGTTAATTGCCAAGATAAGCTGCACTTGCAGTGTCTGAGCAAGGTAAAGGTTTGTATGTAAGCACTAAGCAGGGACTACATTTTGACCAATGTTGAGGCCAGTGGTACATTGTACATGCAAGCCTGCAAATAACAGTCGGTCATCGGACAATTGTCCGGTAAATTTGAGGTTTTGACAGGTAAAAGCTTAGCCTAGTTGGACACTCTGACCGGGCATTTCTGCTAAAATGAAAAATATTTTAACTGGAAATTTGTGGCCGAATATGGGACAAGTTATTTTGTTATACTGCCACACAATACTACGCAAAAAAGCTTTGTTATCGGTTTTGTTTTTATTCCAATTCTAAGAATTTTATCACGCGCAGTGTGTCGTCTCAAATTTTATAATTATGTCGAATTGTAAACACATCACATCAACGCCACTATCCCTACATGTTAATTTACGCATTTTGCAGTGGCGTTGTGAAAGATCGTGAAGCCCCATTTAGTNACCACCTCCAATTCCACATTTTAAATAATTATGCAAATTTTTTATTCAATTGACCCCAAAAACATCCAGAGGAAACTTGTTTTCAGAAAAAGTCGAAGAATTCATTTCAGCCAATTTTCAAGTCTCTGAATGTCCACGCGGGAGATTGTTTCATTGCTTTTCCCATTTTCCTTAGACGTCTTGGGAAACTTGTTATGTTCGAAACGCTTGTGTGACTAGGGGTATAAACATTTGTAAATTTGTCAATTTTCGACAGGTAAAATAATACCAGAAGTAATGTAAAGGTCCCCTTGCTGGTGCTAGTAGCAATTTTACACTCAGTTGACTTATAAGCTTTTCGAATTTACAACCAATATTTTGGCGAAGTGTCTACACTAAAATACCAAAATGTCTCAAATGTCTCTTTTTAATTTCTAACGACAAACAATTTTTTTTGTCCGACCAGACTGGCATTTTGTCAGGTAAAAACTGGTCCTTGTCCTGATAAATGACCTGCCTATAGACAAAAATTATTTGCAGGCTTGACATGTATCTTCTAGAAAGTACACGTAATGAGTACTACAATCTATTTTCAATTTATAAATCCTAACTGTTTAAAGCAATATACAGGTGTTATATATCCCGCAATCTAATATGAGCAGACATACATGTATCTAATAAGCTTAAAAAAATTACACACACCAAACAAAATGACCAAGTGATCATAGTTACAACTCTACAGTATAGGATTAAACTTGGGTGATAGCAAAAATGAACCTGCCCATGATTTGATACCATGTATCAGACCAACTCTTCCTTGACTCTAATTTAAAGAGAGAATTTTGTTTCCATTTGACTGAGAAATAAAACTTCTGTGCAAGACATAACATACCAATTCCCAAGTGAGTGTTGATGCTGGCATATCTAGCTGTTCCCGTGAGATTTTTGTTTTCTCTGTATGGTATATGCTGGTGAGTTCGTGGATCCCTGTATTTCTTGGCCAGGCCAAAGTCAATGATGTACACGAGACTGCCCTTCTTACCCAGTCCCATCAAAAAGTTATCTGGCTTGATGTCCCGATGTATAAAATTTTTACAATGAACATACTCTATTCTGCTGATCTAGAATATATATAAAAAGAAATAACCTTGATATTAGTGCTCTAAAAACAAACTACAGAATTATCTTACAATCAAGAACATAGCTATGATAATATAGGTACTGGTATATGGTACATGTTGTACTGGTAAATATGTCACGTGAATAACACATTAAATTAGTTCAGGCTGCCTTCAAAAGGTACAGAAATTTCACACAGAACTATAATATTAATTAGGCAAACTTGTTCTACATGTATCAGTCCTGTCAGATTTAATTTAAGAGCAATATTAAGACTAAAAGCTTTCAAGTTGAATATGAATAAATACAATGCAGTTGATAAGGTTTAACCCAGTTGGGTATCACATGTACAAGTAAACAATTTTTATTAGCCTTTTCTGCTGTTCTAATAGAACAGCTTCCCTGATCTGTCCTCAGAATGTCAAAGTATATCAGCATAAGTGCTGACTATCAGGGAATAATCCACAGCAGCACGGCCAGTCAAATTTACAGTTCCAAAATAGACCACATTTCAACATGTATGTGCTAAAGGATTTTCACTGAATGTAGAACAGAACCAAGGCAACCAATAATGAGACCTAAAGTACTTGAACATCCAATTGCCGGTTTGAGCTTAAGCAATAGTGCACTTTTTCTGTGTTTACATAGCCTCATCTAAACACAAGGAGGGTTGGGATAATTTGAGACAGTTATGCAAACCAGAGACATAGTCAAGGACTTGCATAACTTTTGAGAATTCTCCCAGCCCCAGAGTGTTTAGATGAGGCTATGTAAACATGGAAAAAGTACTCTGCTACTTTTATAAAATAATTCTCAAAAATACGGGCGAATCTAAAACGTCACAACCGTGTTTACATACTCTCATCTAAACACACCTATAAACCAATGAGAGCGTGCGTAGTAGCTCAGTTATTTTATAAAAACCCTATTCATGATTGTTTGGCCATGAAGAAAAACAACATTGTTGTTGACAATGGAATCCAAATCATCTATTGCCAGAAAACAAGGGAAAAAATCCTTGTCAAGAAGTGCATCCGAGACTCTTTTGAGATACATGTAGGGTTAGAATCCTAGTGTAGTAGTAGTAGTGGTTGGACTTTATTTAAGTGTGGAGGTGTTTAGCTTTTGACAAACTAATTGGGGACACTAATAAAATCTTAAGTGGATACAAAAAATTAAGGCATTTACACATGTACACAAGTAGAAAAATCTAAAAGGTAAAAGGTAAGCACAGGCTTGTCTATTTGTATAACTAGAAGCATATCACTCACCATTTGATCAGCTAAGAGTAGTACTGTTTTAATACTAAACTTTCTGTTACAAAAGTTGAACAGATCTTCCAGACTTGGTCCCAGTAGTTCCATCACTAATACATTGTAATCACCTTCTGTTCCACACCACTTGATCGTTGGTATACCAACTGAAGATAAGAGCAAAATTTTATCCAGCAATATGTATTTATTATGCAATGCCAAATAACGTACAAAATGAGAACATATCAGATTACTTATTTTCTTCACAGTCATGTTCAAGTGATCATACAGAAATTATATCCTGCTGAGAAAGGCTCAACATTCTTTCGCCAAATTATGTTTTACAAACAGCATGATGACTAATAACATGCCATCTGACAGGGTGCGGAGAAAAAGACAAATTATCCAGAAATTTTTAGGGGAAAATGCGGAAAATGCACTGATTATGCGGAAAACGAACTTGATTATGTGGAAATTTCAAAAGTTAACAGAAGTGATAACAAAGCCTTTCCAATGTACCGAACAATAGTTAAAGTCAAAGTCTTACCCACAGTTTAAGCTCTTTAATAGTAAGGACAAATTTAGTAAACATTAAGCCTGCCAACTTTGACATACATGTATGCTCGATCTGTCTCTAGTATTTGTTGACAGGTGTTTCTTCAATATTTTAGCACAAGTTTTCTATAGAATTTTGCATGAAGAATTCATTATTGTGTTCTTGGAACATCTACAACTTAGTAACCAGTTTATTTATATCAGAAGACGAAAAACATTATTTATATTGGAAGATGAATAGTTTCCAGGCTCTTCACCTGAAGAAGGTTGCAACTACTCCTATCACAGTAACATTTTCAACACTATTTGAAACACTTCCCTTTAATTCATTTTAGATAAGTGACCCCACAGTTAAATTCTCAAGCATTATCAAGAAAGTCAATTGTGTCAAACCTCGTAAAAGCACTTAATTAAAGCATGTCTAATTTTGCTTTGAAGTTATTGAAATGTCCATTTTAGTTAAAATATAGATAGCATCAAATTCAATTTTCTATTGTGGGGTCAGTTCGGGAGCTTAAGTCTCTATAAGTTCTTCTTAATTGTATTCAAAATGTTACCACACTATGAGGTGTTTTGGTACCTTTATTTTTGCCTTTATTGCATGACTGTTCAGTGGAAACTGTCTTAATTCATGCAAATGTGATTCAGACAAGATTCTGCTGACGGCCATTCAGTTTTTGTAAAAACAAAAATCACCTGAACAAACAGTTAGAGAGTACAGTATATACTTTAATTCATAAATAATAGACTTACACAATGTCATCATTGTTTTAAACTACCAGAATTCAGTTTTGTTTTTCTTTACTTATTGAAATTTAGGAGCTGCAGTCACATTTAAATAACAATTTCCAAAATAAAATGAGAAACACAAAAAGTGGAGGATTCTAGTAGTTGTAGTAGATCAACGAACAATTGTGACAGGTCCAACAGCAATGTTCCACAGAAATAGAGCAAGTACTGCAAGCCGAGTAATTTAGAGTATTTTTTTTTCTAAATTTTTTCTTCATTATATATTTTGTACATTACACTTTAGAGTGTTTTTACTGACAGTTAAATGTAGGTTTTAAACCGAGGATTTGGTACCTTTTTATTGCATGCAGTGTCATCAGTGTCTACGAAGTTCGTTTACAAAAATCGAAGGGCTAAGGGTTCCACTAAAGGCCAAAATTATGAAATGTCTGGCCAATATTTGAGAACATGTTTGGCTATACTGACGTTTATGATAGCCTGTGCTTAATAGGTGGATAAAATTGTACGTCAGTTGATTTCAAATTATCACAAAAAGCTTTTGCAGCTTGTGTTTCTTAGGTTTCAGTCGCTATGTTAAAGTAACTGCAAAAATAACAATGAACTCTGGAAATGATGAAATCTCTGACTGTTTAAGTCACATGCTGGTCAATATTCTCGAGTCTTTTGTTTCTATTATTTTGCATCATCTGTAGTACACAAAGTAGCACCGTAGGCATGTCTCATTGAACCATGCCACCATGTATGGATGGAAACTCGCAGTTACTGAATTGAATGAAACTGGACTCAGAAATGTATCCTTGGCAAATGAAGGAAAAGCAACAACAAACCAGGCTGTTATCGTAATTTTATTTTTCCCCATCAGTGCAATGACCGCCGTCATCGGCCATGATCAGTCTTACCAATATGTTGTTGATTTTGCTTAAACAACACATCCTAAGTTGAGCTAGGCCAAATTGTTTTTAAGTGTCGAAATATGTCGATTTACTAGCTACAATCAAGCTAGATTCCTAGTGTGTATATTCCGGCGATTTATGGCTATTTCTTAACTGTGCTTTGCAGCTGTTCACAGTTATTTCACAGCTATCGGTGGGCTGCCAGACAGCTGCAAAATGCTGTCAAGAACTTTGAAGGGCTGCACAGCATTTTTGCAGCCAGTTGCAACCTCACTTGGGCTGTAGAAAGGCTTGTGAAATGTGGCAAATCAGCTGTACAGCTATTTTGAAGTACTTAAATTGTGGCACTGCACAGCACTGCTCATTTCGTATGGGCAAGGCTGTGTACATGTAAAAAATCCTGCCATTCACTTAAAAATCTTTGCATGGTTCTATAGACTATGGAAACTACCAGATTTCAAAGATTTTTAGTTCCTAAAACTTTGATAATTTTCATTATCTCATCTGATTATTACGTTACATATATTACTAATGTTATTTTACATGCTGTTTGAAACAAGCATATCAGTTTACACCCAAACACTATTATTTTGTTAGAGTTCATGGCAAATAAGATTTTGACAATTTACCACAAGCTTAAGGGCAATTTATGGATTGCCCAACTCGTAAAAATACTTGAAACTTCGCTTACCTCCTCCTTGCATCATTTTGTAAAATTTAGCTTCAATGTGTAGCTGCGGATGTTTAGTTTTAACACATTCTAGTTTGATAGCAACCTCCTCTCCAGTTGAAATATTCGTACCTTGAAAAACAGACAACAATTTTACACTCCAGGATGTTAAGCTCATAAAAAAAAATCCTGACGTATATAAACTGCCAAAACGCTAGGGAGGAACTGATGTCGCATTTACGATTTAGCTCGTGTTAGCAATAGCTGCTCAGGCTTGTCATATAAGCTTAGGTAAAAAGTCCGCAGCTTTCTTAGCTAATTCTGTAGGTAAAGCAGCTAATGTTTTCAACAATTACCTAGGTATATGTCGCCAAACGACCCGCTTCCAATCTTCCTACCAAGTCGATACTTGTTTCCAACACGTAGTTCCATCTTTACATCCACCAAAAAGTAAAATCAAACCAAATCAAAATGGAGGCCTTCGAGCGTTCTCTTCCGCCGTCATGAAAGAATCAACACACGAATCTACGGTTACCAAACTCTTCGCGCACAGATGTAATTATCCGTAAAACTCGTCAGAATAGTAGGGAGGTACTTTCCAGACTATGAGTTAGATTGTCAAGACTTGAAACGGCATTTTAACTGGAAGATGGCTCAGATTTTACAAGATTTTGAAAGGTTCCCAAATCCTTATTCTGTTAGCTTGCGAAGTTTATTTTGGTGATTTGCATATGACGACATGAATAATGTATTTTCCGGAAATATCCTAATATGGCATGTAATGGGAAAGGCGAGTTGAGATCGTGGAAGTTCGTCAATTTCCGAACCTCACGACTTTTGCAGACGAGTATCTCAGGTAGACTGGGTGCTAGTATCTCTTGGTTTCCCACGTTACCGCGCGTTACCGGGAAACAGGCGGAAAATAGGAAATTCTCAAGTGTTGTTTTCGTGGTTTTCCGGTTGCAACAAGAGAAAGCGTTTTGAGGCTAAATTCTTTTTGAAAATCAGCTTACGACGATGGGAATCGACCTCGAGAGGTTTCCTGAAGTTAATCCAGAGCTCATATGCTCCATTTGTGCTGGCGTTTTGGAGGATCCTGTTGAATCACCTTGTCGCCATGTTTTCTGTTCTCCATGCATTTCAAGATGGTTGGACTCAAATCATTCTTGTCCAAACTGCAGAAAGAAAGTACGGTCCAGAGACCTGAAGCCTGCTCTGCCACTCCTTAAAAACATCATCAGCAAGCTCAAAATTCGTTGCGATTTCGTTCAACATGGTTGCACTGAAACAGTGGAGCTGGAACGACTTGGGGCTCACACCAACCTTTGCCCGTTTGCTCCTATGACCTGCGAGAACGAGGGATGTGAAATAACTTTTCCAAGGAGAAGCAAAGCTGATCATGAAGCGGAGTGTCCAGAAAGAGTAATATCTTGTTCTTCAACCTGTACTCAAGGCTGTGGATTGCAACTGCGACTCGCTGAACTTCCGGGCCATAACTGCGTGAAAAGTTTGAAATTGCGAGTCGAAGGTGAGTGAGCTGCAATAACATAGATAGTACACAAGCTAGCATTAACCACAAGTAAGAGAACTTAAATTTACTTTGCAAAATGAGCTTACTTAGTAGATTTAATTTCCTGAGAAGATTTACGTGACCCTTATTCCACCTTTTGTGAAGATACATGTACAACTAAGGTTAAGCTTATAAGCTTATTTGCAGTCTACGTACTGTATTTATGTAAGCACATTTCATTACATAAAGGACAAAGGTTAATGCGAATAACTGTATTCTGTTCATATATCTCGATATTAATCTGTACCATCTTGAGACTGAAACTACTGTACGTAAACGTGTACAGAGTGCGGATTGTAAATACCAAAAGTGGTAATTAACGTTAATACAAACATAAAGAAAACAATGCTTTTTCAATGTTCTGGGTTTTTCACGGTACTTCACAATTATTCCTGTTAAATGGTCTGTCAAATTCCTTGAACTAGGAGTGGCAATTTCCATCACTCTCTCATGTAGAAAATAATTTGTCAAAACATGTCCAAAAGATGTGAAAAATTAATCAAAAGCTTTGTCGACTGGAGACAGTACATCAATCTTAACTTTAATAATAGAGAATTAATTTGTAAGCGGATCAGTTATAGTAGGTGGTATGGCTATCTTAAATGAATGTGATTAGCTCTATTTACAGACTGGTATTTTCTTGATTCCATGATCATTTCATTTCTTGGCAGAGTTAGAACGGACAGTGTCTGACTACTCACAGAGGATGTCAACACTGGAAGAGGCAGTGAAAGAACTAAAGAAGCATAAAGAAGGTGAAGAGTTGTATGCTGAATACTCACAGAGAAGTGGACTTTCTGATGCCATAGCACATGCTGAAGCAAACAGACAGCAGGATGTTGACTCTGGTTTAATATCATTACTGTCAGAAGACGAGGAAAGTGATTCTCGTTCATCTTCTCCCACAGTTGGTCTTAGTGGGACAACTCCTACGCACACCAATACCTTGACTACTCTTGAATGGGTAGATGAGTTAATGACAGGACATAGAGAGTATCAGCGGCAACGCTCCTTACGCCGGTCGCCGCCTCGTAGAGAACGGAGTCGTAGTAGATCTCCTCTAAGACAGAGTGCGAGTGAGGATGGCACATCTAGAAGAGACAGAGAAAGTTCACCATCTGAAAGCATATGTACAAGTCGATCTGCTCGTGCTCGTAGACCACGCAGGCCAATGCCATTTACTCCATCTTCACCAAGTGCTTCATCTACCAGCACCAATACTTGCGGAAACAGTGATTCTTCAGCAGTACAGTCAAGAGAAAGGAGGCATAGCGTGCCACCTGTTATTGATGATTCAAGTTCTGCAGATAGTCCTCGTATCACAGGGGAGATTCGGCACAATGTTACTGGAAACGAGGTCATGGAATTTGATAGGATTCCAGAGTATGCAGTTTTCTGGACTCCCCCTGGTTCTACGGAACCCTCATCATATTTTGGTGACCGTCGGGTTCATCAGTGGCTTCAGCGAGCCATAGGAGAGTCTCCCAGTGGCAGCAGCATCAATAGCAGTAGCAGCAGCAGCAACAGCAGCAGCAGCAGCAACAGCAATAGCAGCTCGTCTCCTTCAACATCTTGTTAACAAACAGATTGACATGACACTTTTTATAATATTTATAATAATGTCCTAAATTATTTCTCTCATATTCTTTCTTGCATAATCAGTATCACTTAAGAGATAGCTAAGTACTCTATGAATCAGCAGATCTTTGGGCCATACTGTTTTCCAGAAGATTTAGAAAAGAAACTATATTTATGTAATATTATAATAATTGTACCATTCATGACATTGTCTATAGAGTATACATTCTTTAATTTTGTTTGAAAAACAGCTTTTGCGTCGCAGTTGAATCTCGGCTTTGGCACACTTTAAGTATTGGGATGGTGAATGGGTGGGAAAGGGGGATACTTTAAGGACAGCATCAACATGTCTCTGTCTGGGAGGTGTTCTGGTGTTGAAGTTGTGTGACCAAGACCACAGTTAATAGTTTCCTCAGGAGGTGTTCACAGTTAGATTTGTGACTGTACAGTGGAACCCCCACTAGGATGGGGGTACAAGGTTCATCTGTACAGTCCAACTTCCCATAAGAGGGCAGCTTAGAGGTGGCATCTGAGTGTGCTCTTATGAGGGGTGACAAATGTGACAGGGGTGTCTAGGACAAAGGCATCCCTTCAATAGGGTACAAGATTTGACTGTACAGTCCAACTTCCTGTAAGAGGGCAGCTT